CGGGGACAAGCTTTGGCTTCGGTTTACAAACCCCGTTCTGGAGGGAAAAGAAAAAAACACCCTCTACCCGTCGCCACCTCTCACCTCGCCCCCCCCGCGTTCCCCTCCCACCGTTCCCGCTGCCGTCGCCGCCGCCGCCGCCGAGGCTGCTGCCCCGGTGCGCCCTGGCGAGGCATTTTCGCACCCCGCCAGTGCGCGGAGAGGCAGCAAGAAGAGGCGAGATAACGCGCGGAGGGATCCCCTGTGGAGTTACCCGCTCCGCCGGACGGGACGCTTCACGCCGGCTGCGAGATGCCTCCGCCGGCCTTAAAGGGGTCCCATAAAGGCGCACTGCCAAGGGCTCGCCATGCGCCCGAGGCCGTGGGAATGCGGGTTGCGGCTGGTGGGGAGGGGCGCGGAAGAACCTTAGACGTGGGGGAGGCAGGGAGGCCATTTCCTGGAGGCTGCAGAGCAAATGAGCCTCTCCCCGGGTCCTCGGGGAAGCCCTGCAGAGGTCAGCCGTGGCTTTTGCACCCCTGAACACGCGGGTCCGGGTGAGGGAACATGGAGTGTAGACGAACCGTGCTTTTGAGCTTGGGCCTTCTAACTGGTTTGATGAAAGGCCATCAGCGTGGCCCCAAATCCCAGCGTTATCAAAGCGAATCAAAGCCCTTCTTTTCCAGCCGAGCGGGCCTTGTGGAAATGAGATGTACGTTTACCCTTGACACACTGCACGCCTGGCTGAGGCTCCCAGGTTAATTGATATTTAATGGAAATCATGCCCATGAATATAGTTTCCATCATTTCGCCCTTGATAGACGTCAGCAGCAGGCACAGGGGTGGGGGGAGGCTGAAGAATGCTGGGGGTAGGTATTAGCATTGCTGAGGCGGTAAATAGAAGAGGTGGGAGAAATGTTCCAAGCTGGGAAGGAAAACGCACGTGGTGGCGTTTCCTCGGGTAGCACGCGCCGCTCCCGGGTGTCAGCCCCGGCGCGGGGCGGACCTGGGCAGGGTGTGGCCCCGGGCGGAGCGCGGGGGTCCCGACGCCCGCCAGTCCCCCTTCCAGCCTCAGGCAGCGTTCAAATCGCGCCGCTTCCAGGCAGCGTTCAAATCGCGCCGCTTCCAGGCAGCTGCAGGCGGCGTCCATCTTCTGCTAACGATTCTAGTTCGTCGGCGAAGTCGGTGAAATACCTGCCGAGAGCAGATGCGGGGCTTACTTTATAGTTACTAAGTTTTCCAAAAGAAAGGAAGCGCAGCCTCGGCCTTGTAAACGAGAAGGAAGAGAAACAGCCCGCGCCATGTGGGCAAGTTAGGTTTGAATCCGCAGAGTACTCATGATTCCTTCCAAAGCCACTGGGTTTTACACCATCAACCGCCTTCTCCGCCCTCCCCCCCCCCTTCGCTTTTCTTTTTCCTGTCCCCCTCCTCCTGTTTTAATGTCCAATACATGTGATAAATCTCTGTTGTGTGTATTTTTCCTCGCCCACTAGGCCTTCTTCGCGGGCTCTTTGGGTAACCGAACCCCTATTCCTGCGCGGTAATCCAGCGTTTAGGGGCGCCGGGCCCATCGGCTATGGGAACCGACCTGGGAGACACTCCTGCCTAAGCTAAAACACACCCCTGCGGCTTCCACGCCAAATGCAAATATTTCAAAGCCCCAGATGGCCCCAAAGGTGCAGCAGGCGAGTGGTTTCAACTAACTACCCCTCACTCCTTGTGGGTTGGCCCAGACTGTGAGCGAGATCCTGAGATCGTTCAGGCCGAACTGAATATCATATTTTGCAAATGGAGAAACAAGGTTGCGATGGAAAGGCATAACAAGATAAAATTTTCTGCTGTTATTTTAATTATTTCTGCAGGATATAGTTGGAAATGGTTAAGGTAAACCGATTGCCAGTGGACGTGCTGGTGGTAAAGGCAGGCTTTATTTAATTTTTAAAATTAGTAGGGAGTGCAGGCGACTTTTGTGGGGGTGGCAGGTTTTTTTGTTTTTTCCTGCGTGTTATCTACATGTAAAACTTCCTTTAAATCCTAAGGTGAATGAAGAGATTCCGACAATTAACGGTTTGTCCTTTGGTCTTGCAACTACCCAATTAAGAAATTATTATTTTCAATAAAGTTTTGGAGCTGACTGTCATTGTGTTTTTGTTTTGTTTTTATTTCAGTGGAGTGTGTGAGTGGGAATGGAATGGGGGGAAAACAGAAAAGCGGAACTAGATCTCAACAGTACAAGGCATCTGGTAGAGTTCGATGATTTCTGGGGGGGAAAAGAAACACGAACACTACAAAATTCATTTCTACGCATTCTGGCCTAATTCAGAAAACACTACAACGCAACATTCCCTCTTCGGATAAAACACTTAGCTTTTTTTTTTTTTTTTTTTTTTAACCAGTTTTGTTTCTAATCTGAGTAGAAAAAGAGCGCGATTAACTTCCTAAATAAAGATGCACGCTTTTCCGCGTTTCTGTTTTGATACAATGCATTAATTATAACGTTTTCGTTTCAGCTGTGCCATAGTGCAAGTTTTTCCGAGATCCAGAGGCAAAATTTTATACCTAGAAAATACTGCTGGAGAATTAGACAGTGCACATTGTTTTTTTTCTTTAAAATCATCCTAATTTGGGATTAAAAATAAGATTGTAAATATTTTTAATCAAAACCTTTCTCGCCGCAACCCCAGCTTTACGAGATCAGAAAGTGGAGCAACAGCGCTCTCTAGTGGCCAAAAGCCACCTCGCGCCGACCGAGTTTAATTTCCCTGTTACTCGTTTCAAGCCATTTCCAATCTTGTTCTATTTGACTGGGGCTTGGACCGCTGACACTAATAATGCTTTATCCCTTTGATTGTCAACAAGTCAAGCTCTTGCGGAGGATATTCCCATGTGTGCTTCCATAACAGCTTCCAGTAGTGCCTTTTCCAAAAGCTTCCGGCTCTTCTTTTGCCAGATACTGTAGTTCCCCATTCTGTAATCCTCCAACAGTACTTTTTAGGCACAATTATAAAACTGGCTAGATTGAACAAAAAAATCACAACTTTCTAAACATCAACTGCAAGAGGCTTTCTTTCAAAGGATCCAGGCATTGTGAAAACTAAGAAATTATAGAAGTCAAGACTTAATATTTTTCTTTTAAAGCTGTTGCTCTGAATATCAAATCGTGAATATTTGCTTTTTTAACTTGGCAATTTTAATGTTCCAAGCCCATTTGGTTGGTCGATTTTAGGGGGATCTCAGCCAAATTAGAAGCTTTTTGCTGGATCTCTGAGTGACGGGCTGGAAAGTCCCAGTTGGGCTTGTATTCGTTTGAATTTCTATGCACAATAAATGGGATTTAAAATTTATATACAAAGTCACAGAATGAAATGAATTGACTAAAATTCTGCTTGGATTTTAAAAAGCAAATACTTCATTTCATCGACTTAGGTGATTCCTGTGAGGCTAAACTTTTTTCTCATTTTCAAAAATGTTTTCCTCCAGTTAGGGTGCAACTATTGTACTTGCTATAAGCAAAGCAGATATAATTTCCAACAATATTTTTGCTGCACAATTTGGAGTGGAGGGCTAGATATTTTTGTGACAGTGCGTCTATGTGTTTTTGTGAATGTGCGTCTAGATATTTTCGTGAAAGTGCGTCTGGGTAACTTCATCTTTCCCCATCATCGGGCTGTGGCTAGAAGACCCAAGATCGCTAACTCTCCCCACTCCCCAAATAATACAGCGGTTTGGTTTTGTTTTAAAAACCGGCTAGAGCTTGGCGAGCCTCAAAATATTATGAACAGCAACCCACCGAGGGCAACTTCTAATACCCGGCCATTTTTTAAATCAGAAGCACACCACTCCCTCCTTCCTACCCTCCTCATTTTTATTTCCTAGGTGCTCACACTTCACCCGGGGATCCCAAGCCCCTGCCTTTTTGGTCTAATGCAGTCTTGTTTATATTTTATTGTCCAGATTTTAAGACCCAGTTTTGTCTGCATTTTTCCTTTCCTCCCACAGACCCAAACATCAAAATGAGATGGTTTCAAAGCGAAGCTCCGGGCCTGTCGTAAACTCATTACCTCCAGACGTCTCGCCGGCTCGATGGCTTTATGACACCTTGGCTCTTCCTGTTTTCAAAGAGCCCTAGGTATCAGGCTGGACGCAGGGGCGGGGGCGCAGGCAGCACCTTCTGCCGGATCTGGGCCTTGGCTTTCCCTCCCAGCCCGCCCCCCGCCCCCGCTTTTTCTTCGAGTCCCCTCTTTCATCAGGATCCCCAAGATCTCTGCCCCCGCCCCCGCCTTCCGCCCAGCCGAGGCGGCCTGGCGCCGCCGCCTCTCCGGCCTGCAAAGGCTATGCTTGCCCGAACCCTCGCTCACAATGACCTTCATTTTAGCCTCTGAATGCGGCCCTCAGAGGGCCGAGCTTGGGGCTAAACACACAGGAGCTGGCTGGGGGGTTAAAGGGGGCGGTGGGGTGAGGGTGGCTGGAGAGGAGAGCCTTGACCATTTTGATCCGCTAAGGTCACTTTGGGGAGGGGCGGAGGCTCACAGCCAGACCGTCCCGCCAACCTGGAGGAGTTACTACAGAGTGCGGAGTTGGCCTTTCCCTTGTTTGGAGAGGAGGGTGGGCCGCTGGGGAGAAAGAAGGCGTGGGTGCGGTCTGCCAAAGTCCTAGCGACAGGATGCCTGGCTCCTGAGGCCCGTCAGCTCCCCTGGGCGCCGCAGCAAGGTTGACACTAGGCCCTGGCACAGCATTCGATGCGCTGGAGGCTCTGGGACCAGTCTAAGGACGGGAGGGGAGGCCAAGGCCTGCCCCCTATCCCAGGAGCTGCGCTCTAGGTGGGACTGCTCACACAAAGGAATGCTCTGAGGCACAGATGAGAGATCAGGGTGGAAGGGCCCTGGATTTTTTGCAGTGCCTCCCTCGCGGGTAGAAGTTCTGTGAGAGTGATATTTTGCAGAGAGACAGAGAAAGCAGGCACACACCATCCAGGGCCAGCGTCTGAGTTCCATTTGATCAAGTCAGCATTTATTGGTAGGAAGCGGTAACATTTACAACTGGTCCTCGGTCAGGAGCCGGGAGGGAAGCCACCCGCGGCCGCCCACGTGAGCCGGGCCCTCTACGGGAAGCGCGGCTCCTCCAGTGCACTGAAAACAATTCCCCCCACCCACACACACACACACCCCTACCCAGCTGAGAGCCTGGGCTCCCCTCTCTGCCTCCCTCGAGGTCTTGGCTGAGGGCCCGCGGGCTCCCTGAGGAAAAGGGGCTTTAGCAACCGGTGGGCAAGCCGGCGAGCCTCAGCCTGGGCGGGCAGCCCGGGTATCCGCACTGTTATCGCTTTGCCTTCATTTTCCGAATCGGGGCGTGCCTGGCCCCTCTTGGGCAGCACTGGGGACTAAACTACAGCACTTTTCAGAAACACGGGGGACATTTACATAGGAGAGGGCTCCCTAAGCCGGCGTGCACTCACAAAAGATAGCATTTCCTAAGGAACCAACGGGGCAGGGAAGGGAGGGAGCAGGATAGGTTGAAACCCCAAAGCCACTTGATTTCTCCAACACATAAGCGAGTAAATACAGAGTCCCCCAAATACCTCACAGAGACCAACCACACAGTCACTTCTACCTGAAAAAAAATGAAGAAAGAAAAAGTCCGAGTCGCTGGAGAGTTTCTGGAAATCAAGCACCCATAAAGCAAAACCCCTGCTGCCTTTGCAAAGCAGAGCGCTTCCGCCGGCGCCGGTCAGTCTCCTTTGGGGCATTTCTCCTTGCTCATCTTTTTCATTTTCATCCTACGGTTCTGGAACCAGATTTTGACCTGTCTCTCTGTGAGGTTCAGAATCCTGGCCACCTCGTAGCGCCGGTCCCGGGTGAGGTACATGTTGAAGAGGAATTCCTTCTCCAGCTCCAGCGTTTGGTATTTGGTGTAGGGGCAGCGCTTTTTCCGCGTGGAGCGAGCGTGTATCCAGTTCGCGGCCGGGTTGTCTACGAAGAGGGGTATTTGGAGAAGGGGAGCGAGGGACGGAGGGGAGGCAGGGAGAGACGACAGGGTGGGGGAGAGAGCTCGTTAAATTAATTTCACCAAGGATGGCCGCTTTTCACAACTTGGGGGGGAATTATCATAAAAAGGCTTAATGCTCGCTCACTGTTCACCGTACAAACCGCGCGCCCGGGGTAGGTGGTTATGGGAAGATTTTTATGGGTGCGTGTTGCTCGCCTGGGCTAAGGTAGACGTCTAGACGTTTTTATAGGTTAGTAAAACTATCAGTTTTGCACATTCGAGCCTTACAGGTTTCAGCAATAAATCAGGGGGCAATTTCTTTTGCACTTACTTGGGTCAAGTTTCTGTTGTGGCGGCTGCGGATGCTGCTTTTCCTCCTCCTTCAGCGGGCAGCCGGGGCTCGGGTGGTCGCTGCAAGCCGAGGGCTTCGAAGAGCCGCCCGCCCCGGGCCCGGCCCCAATCCCCGCCCTGGGCCCAGCGCCTGCCGTCGCCGCCTTGTCCCGCAGGAAGGAGTTGCAAGAGAACTCAGGGTTGCCGCTCCCCTGGGACTCCTGGGCCGCGGAGCACTCAGTCCGTTTGGAGGAGGAGGAGGACGTGGAGGAGGCGGCGGCGGTGGCGGTGGCGGTGGCGGTGGCGGCGGCAGGGGCGGCGGCCGCTCCGGTTTCAGGCTTAATCCCGTAGTGGCGCCCGTTGGCTGGGCCGCCAGGGCCGGGGCTGGGACCAGGGCCCGGGGCG